CCCCTCCCATGCCCCGTCACGCCCCTCCTAGGCCCCGTAGCGCCCCTCCTGGGCCTTGTCGCGCCCCTCCTGGGCTTCGTAGCGCCCCTCCTGGGCCCCGTCGCGCCCCTCCTGGGCCCCTGTAGCGCCCCTCCTGGGCCCCCGTCGTGCCCCTCCTGGGCCCCGTAGCGCCCCTCCTGGGCCGCGTCGAGCCCCCCCCCCTCCTGGGCCCCGTCACGCCTTCAGGCCCCGTCGCGCTCGCCCGGCCCCGTCGCCCCAGCCCGGCCTCGTCGCACCAGCCCGGCCCTGTCGCACCAGCCCGGCCCCGTCACGCCCGCCCGGCCCCGTTGTACCCGCCCGGCCACGTCGCCCCCTGCCCGGCCCCGTCACAGCCGCCCGGCCCCGTCGTACCCGTCCGGCCCCGTTGCGCCCGCCCAGCCCCGGTGCGCCCCTCCTGGGCCACCGTCCTGCTCGCCCGGCCCCGTCGCACCGTCCCGGCACCGTCGCACCAGCCCGGCCCCGACGCACCCGCCCGGCCCCGTCGCACCAGCCCGTCCCCATCGCGCCCGCCCGGCCCCGTCGCGCTCGCCCGGCCCCGTTGCACCGGCCCGGCCCCTGCGCTCGTCCCTGCCCCGGCCCCGGTCCTCCCCACTGGTACGGTTCCCCCCCCCCCCCCCCCGCCCTGCACTGCCCTGCACCGTACTGCCCCGCACTGCACCGCCCCGCACCACCCTGTACTGCCTGGCACCGCACTGCACCGCCCTACACCGCACTGCACCGCACTGCATCGCACTGTACCGCACGGCACCGCACTCCACCTTGCTGCACTGCCCTGCACCGCACTGCAGTGTTCCTGATGGCGGCGGAGCTTCCTGACTCCACCACCCTGACGCCGCTTCCTGTCCCAGCTGCTGTCTCTCTTGCTGACCCCTCCGGCGGTCCGGTCGTCGCCCGCAGTTCCACCACCCTTCCCTGTCCAGCGGTTCCTTCGGGCTCTCTCACAAGTCTGCACATCCCCTCGTTCTCCAGGAACCTAGTTGGTGTCGGCTGCCTCCAGGACCTTGGCGTCACCACTACGTTCCCTGGTCACGAGCGGTATGCTGTCTGTACCGAGGCCGCCACTGGTGCCCCCCTGTCCACGTTCCCCCGGGACCCGGTGTCCGGCCTGTTCACTCAAGACACCGTGACCCCCCCGGCTGGGGCGCCTCCTCAAGTGGCTGCGTCTACCCAGGTTGCTGCTGCCTGCTCCTGTCGGTCCCTCACTCACCCGACTCTCCTTTGGCACCACCGCCTAGGTCACCCTGCACTCCCGCGTCTCCGTCACATGTCCCAGCACGGTCTTGTCCTTGGTCTCCCAGGTTCCCTCCCCGCGTTTCCCTCCTCCCCAGCCCCACCTTGCACGCCTTGTGTTGAGGGTCGGCTTCGCCGTGCCCCGCACTCCTCCTCGTTTCCCCCTACCGCCGCGCCGCTGCAGACCCTGCACCTGGACGTCTGGGGCCCCGCCCCCGTCCCTGGGCCGCGTCGAGAGCGCTATTTCCTTGTGCTTGTCGACGACTTTACTCGTTACACCACAGTCTTTCCCCTGGAGCGCAAGGCCAACGTGCCTGGCGCTCTCATCCCCTGGCTTGTCTCTGCGCGTGTCCACCGCGGTCTCCCTGTCTTGCGTCTTCACTCCGACCGTGGTGGCGAGTTTGCCTCAGGTGTCCTTGGTCGCTTTTGTCGTGCGGAGGGCATCACCCAGACGTTCACCCTACCGGACTCCCCACAGCAGAATGGGGTCGCTGAGTGACGCATCGGTTTGGTCATGGAGGTGGCTCGCACCTCCATGATCCATGCCGGTGCACCCCATTTTCTGTGGCCGTTCGCTGTGCGCTACGCTTCTCACCAGCTTAACTTGTGGCCGCACCCTCAGCAGCCGCAGGTTTCGCCGACTCGTCTTTGGACTGGGTCTCCTGGTGACGCGTGTGCGTTCCACGTCTGGGGCTGCCTTGCTCACGTCCGTGCCTCCGGCACGGGCAAGCTCACTGCCCGCACCCTTCTCTGTGTCTTCCTCGGTTTTCCCCTTGACGAGTCCGTCTCCTACTACCGTCGCTTCCCTCACCGTGCTCCCCCGGTTACCCCCCCCCTGTTCCTGGTCACTCCTTCCCCGGTAGTCCCTGCCCCTCCTCCTCCTCCTCCCCGTGCCGCCCCCTCTGGTGTGTCCCACGTCACCCCCCTTCCGTCGATGGACCCGGTTGAGGAGTCTTCTGACTCTGGTGGCCCTCCTGTTCAGTCCTCGCCGGCCGCCCCTCCCCTGGCGTCCCCTCCCCAGTCCCCCCCTCCACCGCCTCTGCCGCCGCTGCAGCCGTCGTTGTCGCTGCCGCCGCCGCCGCCGCCGTCGCAGCACCCGTTCGCTGACTCTGGGGGTGCTCGTCCCGGTAGCCCTGGGGGTGGTCCCTCTGGGGGTGCTGGTGTGGTGAGTGCCGGTGGTAGCCGAGGAGCAGCTTGCGGTCCCGGTGTCGCCGTTGTGCCGCCGCAGCTGCAGTCCCCGCCGGTGTCCGCCCTTCGCCTTCTCAGCCTTCTGTCCCCCGACCCTGCGTCGGTTCCTCCCCGGCCGTCTCCTCCTCTTCCTGTCTACGGCCCTGTCTTCCCTCCGCCGGACTCGTCCCCAGCCCGTCTCCCCCCTCGTTCCCCTCCTGTGTCCCTTCCTCTGTCTCCTGACCAGACTCCTCCGTCGCACATGTGGTCTCACCGTCCCTCCCGCGCTCGTCCTGCCTCGCCTCTCTTGCGCTCCCACCCTATGTTGCTTCGTTCCCACGCATCTCGTCCTCCCCTTCTGCCGTCGCCTCCTCCATCCTCCCTTGTTGTTGCACCCCCCCCGCTGTCTGACTACCTTCGTGCCGCTCGTCCCCTTGTTCCTCGGGTCCTTGCCTCTCTCGTTACCGACCCGTCTGTTCCGACCTCGTGCCTTGACGCTCTTGTCGCTGCTGTCGCTGACTTCGCCTCTACCCGCCGCCTTGACTACGCCTCCGCTTTGGTCTCTGACCCTGCCTGTCCTCCGTCTGTCGGGGGTGCTCCTGCCCTTGGCAGTGACGTCCTGGAGGACCGCCAGTTCGAGCTTGCTTTCCTGTCCGAGGCTGCTCCCCATCTCTGTTCCATGCTGCTAGTCCCTGAGGGTGACCCAGACGCTTTCGACATCCCGACCCCTCGCACTTACGTTGAGGCGACTTCGGGACCCTGGGCCTCGCAGTGGATAGCTGCCATGGAGCAGGAGATGGCATCTTGGAGATCCACCGACACCCCCACCTAGGGTGAACGTAGTCGATGGCCGCTGGCTCTTCAAGGTGAAGCGCCCTCCTGGAGAGCCGCCTGTCTTCAAGGCGGGCTATGTCGCTAGAGGCTTCAGTCAGCGCGAGGGGGTGGACTTCTTCCAGACCTTCGCTCCGACCCCGAAGATGACTACTCTTCGGGTTCTGTTACACCAAGCTGTTCAGCGTGACTACGAGCTTCACTCCCTCGACTTCTCCACTGCCTTCCTTCAGGGCAGCCTACACGAGCAGGTCTACATGCGGCGCCCTCAGGGCTTCACTGGCACCTTCCCTCCTGGGACCCAGTGGCTCCTGCGGCGCCCCGTCTACGGCCTGCGCCAGGCTCCCCGTGAGTGGCACGACACTCTCCGTGCTACGCTTGCTGACCTGCAGTTCTTTCCGTCTTCCGCAGACCCTTCACTCTTCGTTCGTGCTGGCCAGATTCCGTTCTACATCCTTGTTTACGTCGAAGACCTGGTCTTTGCCACAGCTGACAGGGACGCACTGGCCTCCGTGAAGGCAGAGCTGCTGAAGAGACACACGTGCACTGACCTTGGTGAACTGCGCCGTTACCTTGGCTTGCAGATCTCCAGGGACAGAGCTGCGCGCACCATCACCCTGACTCAGTCACACTTGGTGCGCCAGGTCCTTTAGAGGTTCAGCCTTCAGTTCTCCTCTGCACAGCCCACCCTCTGCCTGTAGACCACAGACTCTCCGCTCCAGTGTCTGAGGAGTTGGTAGAGCACAGCCGCCCCTACGCAGAGCTGGTGGGTTGCCTCATGTACCTGATGACTTGCACTTGCCCAGATCTCGCATACCCTCTCAGCATCCTGGCTCGCTTTGTGGCCACAGGCAGACACCGACCGCAGCACTGGTCTGCCGCTAAGAGGGTTCTGCGTTATCTTGCTAGTACATCAGGCATGGGGTTAGTGCTAGGAGGACGCAGGCCAGTGGTCCTTACTGGACACACAGACGCTTCGTGGGCAGACGACGCTGAGACACTCAGGTCTACCCAGGGCTACTGCTTCAGCCTTGGCTCAGGTGCCGTCTCGTGGAGAGCTACCCGCTCCTCGTCTGTTGCGCAGTCCAGCTGTGAGGCTGAGATCTACGCTGGTGCCATGGCGGCACAGGAGCTCCGCTGGCTGACCTTCTTGCTCACTGACTTAGGTGAGCGGCCTAGCTCTGCCCCGGTCCTGTTCGTTGACAACAGGGCCATGATCGTCCTGTGTCAGGAACCTCGACTCGAGGGCAGAGCAATGCACATTCAGCTGCGGTACTTCCTCCTGCGTGAGCTACAGCAGCGACGTCAGGCTCGCGTAGTACACTTGGCCTCAGGTGCCAACACGGCTGATATCTTTACGAAGGCGCTTGCGCCTAAAGATCATCAGCGGCACTGTGTACAGCTTGGTCTAGTTCCTGTAGCCTCTCACTTGCTAGGGCCTTGACTTTGTACTGTCCTTTATATGCATACTCAGACTGGACTTGTGTCCTCTCCTAGTGGCTGAACTAGTAGTGCCGCCCTGCTCTTGTTCTTGCCTTGTTTGTACTCCTTCTGATTGGTCTCTCAGACCCTTGTCTCAGAGGTTGGACTAGTAGTGCCGCCCTGAGCTGTTTGTTTAGGGCATTCCCCTATGCAGTCTAGGGGGTGTGTCAAACATGTGTATTTGTCATGTTTGTATAGATTGGATAGGGTCGCCTCTTAGAGAGTACAACACTTAGGTATATCTGTGTGTACTCTCACTCTATCAATTATTCACTTCTCAATTCTGATACTCATACCATGAAATAAATCTCCTGGTGTTGTAAAAGACTAAGTATAAAACTATTAATGAGAACACTTGGCAAACCCTCAAATGTTGGTCCAGGATCTTTGCTGGAATGGTAGACTAGTAAGACAGCGGAAGTCTTATCAGAGTGAACCTGAGCACATGAACTTGTGGGTAGTCGAAGGTTGAATAACCTGAGCACATAATTCTGTGGAAAGTCAAGGTTAATAATAGAAAGGCATTACAAGGATTTATATCTCTAGGGAAAGTACCTGTTCGCTAATGTATCTGTTCGTCGCTATCGCGCTATGCGACCTATTCGTCATTCTATAGGGTCGCGACTGTTCGCGTGACTGAAACGACTCGTTATTCCTATTACGTAACTGAAGCGGTATATGACGTCATCCCGAGACCCGCGATGCTTTGATGACGTCAGCAATCGGACTTGTTTCCTTACCGAGAAACTCGATACTGCGCGCTACACTAAAAACGGAACTTGCAGGGATGCAAAACTTCATTTATCACAACAAGGCTAACGCTTGAGGTTTTCCAAGTGTTCGTGTTTGCAGATTCTACACTTAGTCTTCTGCAACACCTGTAAAAATATTACAGGTACTAGCAAACACCCTGAAAAAAAGCGTTAAAGGCGTAAAAATCCTGATATCGTGGGGCCTGTCAACTACTCAAGCATCTTGTACAAGGGGGACTTAGTCTCTGAAAAGATCCTAGGGCTTTTCTCAGCCCAACATACATAAAGCACAAACCCTGTGAGGTGCACACTTTTCAGAGCGTGTGCCCTGAGGGCAGGGTGCCTAAATTTGAGCTTGAGGTCCTGCTCTGCCCACTTGCCTCTCTTTTACCCCTTGGACCAGGCTGCACGCATGCAGCTCAATACCACAACCCCACAGGCACAACAGCCAGGACCGTCCGGCCTCAAAGTATCAAGATATCATCACTCTCCATCCTTCTGCACACCTCCTCCCTCCTCTCCCCTCCCCCCCCAGCCCCCTGCGCCCCCTCGTCGTCGCCCTCCTTGCGGAACACGAACACGCAGTACAGGTACGCTGCGTCCCACTCGTCCGCCGTCATCTCCTCGCGCCACGCCTCGCCCACAATGCGGCGCAGCAGCGACGCGTGCGGCTCCACGGCGGCGTGCGTCTTGATGAAGTCGTGGAAGTTGGCGTGGTACTCCAGCTGCAGCCCGTACTCCCCAGCCAGGCGCCGCAGGAAGGGGAAGGGCACGAGCCACTCAGGGCAGTCCACGGCGTCCTCCAGCCGGAACTCGTACCGGATGCCAAACGGCCGGGACGACGGGAAGTGCTTCACGCCGAACTCCGCGGCGAACTCCACCGAGTACACGGCGTTGCCGAACCTGAGGCTGGGCGCGGCGCGCAGCTTCTGCACGAGCACGTTGGCGTCGGGGATGGTGCCGATGAATGCGCCGCCCGGCCGCAGCAGCGCCGCAATGTTGCGCAGCCCGCAGCGCGCCCGCTCCTCCGTCTCGAACGAGTAGTGCAGCGCGAACTGCGTGGAGCAGATGTCAAACGGCGCCCACGCCGCCAGCTCGCGGTCCAACGCCACCCCGAAGCAGTCCGCGCACGCCAGCTTCGCCGGGAAGCGCATCTGCCGCCGCCCCCCACCCTCCCCGGTTCCCACCCCTCCCCTGCCCCCTCCCACGGCAAACGACTCGTCTGAGTCCCCGTTGTACCGCGCCATGGCGTCGTGCACCGACCCCTCCGCCACGTCCACCCCAAAATAGAACCCGACCCCGGCGCGCGCCCACTTGGTGAGGTCGCCGCCCTTGCCGCACGCGAGGTCCAGCACGCGCGCGCCGCGGGGCGGGTGCGTGTGCAGGCGGATGAGGGCGGACTTGACCCAGTTGTTGAGCTTCTTCAGGTGGATGATGGGGCTGGCCTCGCGCACGTGCCGCTGCTGGTTGTCGCGCCGGCTGTAGTGGTCCGCCACCACACGCACCAGCAGCCCTGAGGATGCCCCCGTGCTGCCCGCTGCCCCGCCTCCTGCCCCTGTGTCCGCCCGCTTGGCTGCTCGCCCAGCGCTCTCTGGTGCCCCGGGCGAGCCCCTCTCCTTGCGCTTCACGCCACTCTCTTGCAGCTCCCCCCCCTCGCCGCCCTCGCCCCCCGCGCCTCGCCAGTCCTCTCCGCTTCTGTCGCTCCCTGTCCCGCCTCCCTCGCCGTCGCTAGACGCGTTATAGTCACTCCCGTCGTCCTCGTCAAAGTCCAGACTCACGCCCAACCCCCCATCCACCTTGCCCACACCCCCCTCCCCCTCCCGCTTGTCGCCCTCACGCCCGTCGCCGCCGGCGTCTCGTCCCGCCGAGTCCCCGCCACCGTTGTCCTTGGCATCGGCTCGCAGCCCGTCTCCTTCATACCCGCCCTCCCTCTCCTCCTCCCCTCCCCCATCGCCTACCCTCCTCTCTTCCACCGCGCCCCGATCCTCGCTCTCCCCGTCGCTGTGCGACGACCGCGACGACGCTGACGACCTAGACGACAGCGACGATGAAGATCGCGACGAATGCGACGGCGACTGCGACGGCGAGTCGTCGCGACTGGGGGAATCGCGACGGCCGTCGGTGCCAGCCGGCGAAGCCGCTTCAGCGGACTCGTTACCAGACGCCTCCCTGGCGCCGTTCGGGTCGTCCCGGCCGGCCGGCTCCCAGTCGTCGGCGTCGCTGCCGTCCTCCAAGCTCGCCACGCGCTCCAACCCGAACCCCGCAAAATCCATCCGGCCGCTCTCGACTCTTCACCGCTGCCCACCCACCGTACGCTATCCCTACTCTCGCTACCGCTGCAGCTATCTCGCTGAAGCCTCCTCTAGACACGTCCGTAGCTTATTCCTCGCCCGTGCTGGGAGTCACCCACAATACCTGGCCGAGGCCCCACGCTCGCTGGGCTGTCCATGGGTTGAAGTGCAGAACGAAACAAATACTCGTTACAAAGTCTCACCCGCTGAAGGCAATGTTCGAGACCAAATATGACAAAATAGGGGTAAACTAGTATAAGAATTTCGAATTCTAGGGTGAAAATAACAAACAAGTAACGAAAGTGTTAACAGAGTAACAAAATTAACTAGAATGAGACATACACTGTGGTTTTGTGCTAAGGGGTTATACTCTCTAAGAGTACGCACCTATCTAGCCTATAGTAACATAAACACATACGTTTGATACACCCCCTAGGCTAGATGAGGGGCAGTGCCGGGCAAAGGACACGCAGCTCAGGATGGCACTACTAGTCCAACCTCAGAGGCAGGAGTCCGAAGACCAGTCAGCAAGAGTACAAACGAAACAAGAGTATCCCAGGACGGCACCACTAGTCCAGCCACTGGAACAAGAGCCACAAGACCAGTCAACATAATATAAGAGGAAGTATACATCAGAGCCCTAGCAAGTGAGAAGCTACAGGAACTAGACCAAGCTGTACACTGTGCTGCTGATCATGTTTAGGCGTAAGCGCCTTCGTAAAGATATAAGCTGTGTTGACACCGGAGGCCAAGTGTACAACGCAGACCTGGCGGCGCTGCTGTAGCTCGCGCTGGAGGAAGTACCGCAGCTGGATGTGCTTTGCTCTGCCCTCCAGTCGAGGCTCCTGACACAGGAGGATCATGGCCCTGTTGTCAGCGTACTGGACCGGGGCAGAGCTAGGCCGCTCACCTAAGTCTGTGAGTAGGAAAGTCAGCCAACAGAGCTCGAGTGCCGCCATGGCACCGGCGTAGGTCTCAGCCTTAGAGCTAGACTGGGCAACAAACGATGAGCGAGGGGACCTCCACGAGATGGCACCTGGACCAAGGCTAAAGCAGTAGCCCTGAGAGGACCTGAGGGTCTCAGCGTCGTCCGCCCACGAAGCGTCTGTGTGCCCTGTAAGGTTTACTAGCCTGCATCCTCCTAGCACTAGCCCCATGCCCGATGTACTTGTTGGATAACGCAAAATCCTCTTAGCGGCCGACCAGTGTTATGGTCGGTGTCTGCCTATGGCCACAAAGCAAGACAAGATGCTGAGAGGGTGTGCGAGATCTGGACGAGTGCAAGTCATCAGGTACATGACGCAATCCACCAGCTCTGCGTACGGACCGCTGGGCTCTACTAACTCCTCAGGGACTGGAGCTGAGAGCCTGCGATCTACTGGTAGAGGTATGGGCTCTGCAGAGGAGAAGTAAAAACCGAACCTCTGAAGGACTTGGCACACCAAGTGTGACTATGTGAGAGTGATGGTGTGCACTGCTCTGTCCCTAGAGATCTGCAGGCCAAGGTAGCGGTGCAGCTCTCTTAGGTCAGTGCAGGTGTGCCTCCTCATCAGCTCGGCCTTCGTAGAGGCCAGCGCGTCTCTGTCTACAGTAGCAAACAACAGATCATCTACATAGACAAGGATGTAGAACGAGGTCTAGCCTGAACGAACGAAGAGCGAAGGGTCTGCAAAGGACGGGAAGAACTGCAGATCAGCTAGTGTAGCACAAAGCGTGTCATGCCACTTGCGTGGCACATGCCGCAGGCCATAGACAGGGCGCCGGAGGAGCCACTCGGTACTCAGGGCGAAGGTGCCGGTGAAGCGTGGTGAGCGACGCAGCTAGACCTTCTCGTGCAGACTGCCCTGAAGAAACGCTATCGAGAAGTCGAGAGAGTGCACCTCGTAGTCACGATGTGCTGCTTTGTATAGCAGCGCCCGAAAAGTAATCTTCGGGGGTCGGGGCGAATGTCTAAAACAAGTTAACACCCTCGTGCTGACTGAATCCTCTGGCAACGTAGCGCGCCTTGAACAACGGCGGCTCTACAGGAGAGCACTTCACCTTGAAGAGTCACTGGCCATCGACTACGTTCACCCCAGGTGGTGGAACTACATCGACGTAGGTGCTGGTGGATCTCCAAAATGCCATCTCCGCGTCCATGGTTGCTATCCACTAAGAGGCCAAGGGTCCCGAGGTCGCCTCAGCGTAAGTACGAGGGGTTGGGATGTCAAGGGCGTCTGGGTCCCCCTCAGGGACTAGCAGCATGGAGCAGAGATGAGGCGCGGCCACGGACAAGAAAGCTAGCTCCTACCGCCAGTCCTCCAGGACGTCACTGCCAAGGGCAGCAGCACCCCTGACGGACGGAGGACGGGCAGGGTCAGAGACCAGAGCGATGGCATAGGCAAGGCGGGCGGTAGAGGCAAAGTCAACAATGGCAGCAACAAGAGCATCAAGACTGGAGACAGGAACAGACGGGTCAGTAACAAGAGAGGCGAGGACCCGAGGAACAAGAGGACTAGCGGCACGAAGGAAGTCAGACAGGGGAGGCAGAGCGACAACCAGCGACGGGAGGAGGGGAGGATGAGACGTGTGGAAACGAAGCAACATAGGGTGAGAGCTCTGAACAGGAGAGACGGGATGAGCACGAGAGGGATGGCGAGACCAGAAGTGGGACGGAGGCGTTGGGTTAGGAGACACTAGAGGAGACACAGGAGGAGAACGCAGGGGGAAACGAGTCGGAGACGAATCCGGCGGAGGAAACACATGACCGTAGATAGGCAGTGGAGGCGGAGGTGGGTGGCCAGGGGAGGGAAGACCGAGGAGGCAAAGGGCGGACATCGGCGGTGACTGCGGCTGCTGCTCCACACCGACACCGGAACATCCAGCTCCACCACTACGACCACCGGGAGTCTCCACAACAGCATCCCCAAAACGAGAACCCTCTCCAGCACCGGTGCCACCCCCAGGACCGACGGGACAAGCCACGACACTACCCCCAAGACTAGCACCCTCCTCAACGCCCACACCCTCAGAGCTCGTGGACCCCTGCGGCGGCGGCGGCGACGACGACAGCGGCAGCGGAGACGACGGCTGCTGCGGTGGCTGCGATGGCGGAGATGGCTGCTGCTGCTGCAGCGGTGACAGTGGCTGCTGCGGCGGTGGAGGAGGAGGAGACAACGGGGCTGAGATGGGCGGAACCGAAGCCGCAGGTCCCCTGGAGTCAGCCAACTCCTCCACCGGGACAACCGATGGGAGGGAAGTGATGTGAGACACACCAGACGGGGCAGGGCGGGGAGGAAAAGGTCGTCGAGGCGGCGGTAGCAGTGAGCGGCGGTGTGGTCGGGACAGTCGCAGAAGGTGCCGCGGCAGGGGCCGGGCTGAAGCTGGTACTGGCAGGTGACCACACTGGAGCCGCTACACGACACCGAGCTGCGCGGCCCACTACCACGCCTACCGCCACCAGCGTCGCCAGGCCACCACGGCTGCAGGGGCCCCCACGGCGGCTGCTGATGCTACTCGTGCTGCGGAGGCTGCTGCTGCTGTTGCTGCTCCGGGGCAACTGCCCCAGTCCCCTCATCTACACCATCGTCCCCGCCCCCACCTCCACCACCCCTTCCACCCCCACCACCCCCGCCACCCTTCCCTCCACCACGGCCCCCCTTGGGATGGCATCCCTTACCCTGACGCGGCTGTGCTGAGGCCGCGGCAGCGGCCTCAGCACCAGGGGCTGTCTCAACGACAGTGGCAGAAACGACAGAGTAAGTGCACTGAGAGGGAGCACAGCCCTGGAAGATAGGGACTGCCGTAGTACCGCAAGATTGAGCGATAACGCGCTTGCGGGTCTCTATCTCAGACATGGCTGTAACGAAGGCGGTAAGGGTGAGGTCACTTGGGTGCTGACTAAGGAAGTGGTCGCGGGCAGTGGCTAGGCGGTCAGGAAGGCGCGTGGCAATGATTTAAGGGGTAGCGCAAAGTGGCGGTGGGAAGGCAATGAGTTGAGCCTCAGTGCTAGCGGCGCTGTCACAGGATCGAATGTGTCGAGGAAAGGTTGCACTATCGATCAGTACAAGGCGCTTTTATACTTCCAGAGTACATCAGGTAACCAGGTTTATCTTATCCTAAGGGAATAGACCCTTCTAGAAGATAGAATCACCCTGCGTATAGCCACGTGAGGCTATTGGCTTTAAAGGATTACGGCAGGATTACGCTGGATAACGTCTCTAGTACATTCCATGCCTGGTCGGTGATATAATTATAATAAAGGAAGAGACCAAAGGATAATGGAAAATGGAAAATAGGAAACCAAATGAGATGCGGTAAAACGAGAAATGAAAAGGGAAGGAAATAAGAAAAGGCCAAGTGGTGTAACGGGGTCGTACTCTCACACTTCCCCCCCTCAAAGCTGGGTGGTAGAAGTAACACCCTGCTTGACAAGGTAGTCATGCAGAGGACGACGGGCGTTACCCATGTCGGACTCAGGTACCCAGCTGTCCTCAGATGGATCATAACCCTTCCAACGGATGAGAAGCTCCACGGTGCCATTCCGACGACGACGATGTGCAAGCACGGACTCGACCTCGTACTCGGGTTCGTTCTGGACGAGGACGGGCGGCGGCGGCGGCGGCTGGCGTCCGACGAAAATTGTGTTCGGGTCCCGATAGGGTTTCAGAAGTTGGACGTGGAAGGCGTTGTGAATCTTCCAGGTAGCTGGCAGGCGTAAGCGGAAGGTAACAGGAGTGACCTGTGCTTCAACGAGGAAAGGCCCGCAGAAGCGAGGTCGAAGTTTAGATGGGAGATGGCTGATGTCCAGGTTGCGGGTGTCGAGGAGCACCTGGTCTCCCACGGAAATGGTGTGGTCGTTGCGATGGCGATCGGCCTGGCGCTTCTGTTGCTGTTGAATGTCAAGGAGGCGCTTATGGGTCCGATCCCAAAGTTGATGCATGGTTGTGATGAAGTCGTGTGCAGGTTGGACTGTTGCTGATGTTGCCGGTTTCTGTGGTGTGAGTGGGTGGCGTCCGTAGCAGAGGAAGAACGGTGTCTGTCCAGTAGCGGCATGTGTAGCATTGTTGTAAGCAAACTCGAGTACGGGCAGGTGCAAGTCCCATTTGGAGATGTCGTCCTTGCAGGCTGCTCGGAGGAGTTGC